TTTTTTTTTTTTGTTTAATATCAATTAATTATACTGCGTAAAAAAAAAAAATGGCGACGACGACGACGACGATATTATTATTATTATTATTATTATTATTATTATTAAGGAGAAAAATGCGAATCGGCATCCGAAACGAATGACGGAAGCGGTAATAATGATTACACGATGATGATAATGATGATGAATGCATTCGAAAAGTGAGGCGGATTAAAAGAGTAAAAGAAAGTTTTGTAAAGTTTTTCTTTATACTTTTGTTTGTTGCCCCATCTCCCCCATCCCTCACCTCCCCCTCCCCTCTTTTCCTTTCTCATCTTCCACTTATCACGACTTCGTAATTTTTTTTTTCCTTTTCTTTCTTTTTTATACATTTTGTGCACTCGAAATCTCATCGGGTCATTCATTGATAATGATAATAATGATAATGATAATAATAATAATAATAATAATAATAATAATAATAATAATAATGACGATTACAACGCAAAAAAAAAAAAAAATCGATATCATAAAATGAGAACCGGAATGGAAATTTCGAAAATGAACCAAAAAAAATTTTCTCACGATGAAATTATTATTATTATTACGCAACGTCATTAAAATTTTTTTTTTTTTTGCACTTTTCCGACGATTTTTTTTAGAAATGCAACAATCAAATCAATTTTCGTAAATAATTTTTTTTTTTTTACGTAGGATTGATTTTTTGATTTCCCCCGTTCGACAAAAAAAATTAGTAATAATAACAACAGCGCGTTCACAACATTTTTTCTTTTATTTAAAACTGGATGTAGGCCAAACATCAGATTATTATAGCAGAAGACGGAGAAAAAAAAAAAAAAATTTTAATTTAATCGAGTGAATAATAATAATAATAATAACAACACGACGGACGAATCGCATTTTAAAATAAAAAATTAAAGATTATCTCTCTCTCTCTCTCTTAACTTATCCGTGAACTTTGCAAATAGAACGCGAGAATATTAATAATAATAATAAATAATAATAATAATAATAATAATAATAATAATAATAATAATAATAATAATGATAATAATAATAATAACAACTTCAAATCGGTTTTATTATTTTTTTTGCAACTGATAACTTTTCCCTGATAACATTAACCCGTCGTTTATTTTAATTTTTTTTTTCTCTCTCTCTCTCTCTCTCTCTCTCTCTAATAGGTAAACAATTTTTTTTTTTTTTTTAACGAATTTTTAAAATTTTTATATTTTCAAATATCTCACGAATTTCACGATCGAACGAATCCGTAAATAAAAAAAAATTTAACCTACATACAAAAAAGAATCGAAACCAACTGTGAACGTTCCCAAATCGATCTCGGTGGTGGTCAGACAATACCTCGTACCTACCAACAACGTAGGTACGAACACCGTACAACGAATGCCCTTGACACGACATTACGGGAGGGAATCTCGCGATTCTCGCGATGGATCATCGATAAAAATCCCGGAAAAATTTTAATCGAAGACAAAATTCCTTACGGAGAAAACGGGAGAGAGACGTGCGTGTGCGTGTGATTCGCACACGCGCGTTCAAAATTAATGAAAAAGGAATTGAATATATGTGTATATATAGTTTTTGAGGTCAATGTCATTTTCGACATGAATTTATCATACGTAAAATGAATTACGAGAATGAGAGAGAGAGAGAGAAAATTACCTAAAAATCATTAGAATGAAAAAAAAAAAATGTGTTTTCCAACTTTCATCATGTTGTTGTGAATATTTTTCAAAACAAAAACGTTTATGTTTTCATTAAAAAAAATTATTATTATTATTATTATCAATCCCGAATTCGTTTTTTTTTCAAACACGTGATTTTAAACGAACCTTTTTCTATCACACACACACACACACACACACAACAAACTATAGAGAGGAAAAACG